AAAAAAACTAGGCCCCACTGTTTTTCCGGGGGGCCCGCAAAAAAAAAAAAAAAAAAAAAAAAAGGTGAAGTAGAAAGGACTTATGACACCTTCAAAGTGCCAGCAGATGACTGCTTCAAAGGGGGCTTTGTACACAAGCGTGTTTGATGAATCTCATATTGCTGTTAGGGAGTTCAAGCACACCACTGGTGTTTGCATGTCTTGTCCTTCACTACATGCTGTATAGGAGTCTCTGTGCCTTATTCACACAAAGACTAGACGTCTGGCAGTACAAGCTGCTGCTTTGGTTGAAGAGACTCTGACTTCAATTCCCCGATGATGAAGGACAGGTCCACCTCACTCCCGCCATACCTGCAGAGGAGATGTGGCGTGGAGACGTCTTCCTGATTTTCTTGGAGTCATCACAAATCCACTGCTCGCAGCACTTCCCTGCCATCTTAATCAGCTTTGGGTTTGGGCACCAGACAAGGGGAGGGCGTGAGTTTGTGCACATGGGAATACAGCCCACAGCCCCGTTAATGCACGTGCAGTTGTATTTGCAGTTGGGCTGAAATGTGTCCCCATTGTTATACCTGACTCCATTGAGGACACATCCTACACCGACAATCTCTGAAAGGAAAGAAAAAGAGAGAAAGACACACAGAGTACCATGAAAATAATGCTGGCAACGAACAGCACTGATGCGTTTCTTTACCAAGCTGCTCCCTGGGCTAACGGAGCCAACGTGGACACATGGCTGTGCTGTGGGGCGATGTATTCAATGTGATGCTGAGCCAAATGTGGTCATGCTGTCTAGGAAACTTTTCGTTCTGAATCGTGGCAAAAAAATGAATCTTTTAATGCTTCATGCAAAAAAGAAGTTAGAAAATAAAACAAGTTTTATCCAAAAATGCTCACTTAAAAAATCATTTCATGGCATGCTGGTAAAACTTATTTGCAATAGAAGCAATCAAAGTAATTAAAACAGATATTGAATGAAATTTGAGGTTTTCAGGGACATATGAGAGGACTACATGGATTTGCAAATATGTCACAGCTCTTCACAACACCTGTACCCATCTGAAGCAAAAGGAGGACAGCCAAGGTAGCAAAGGAGCACCTAAAATGGCACTGGATTCCTATATTTAGGCAACTAGATCCTACTCATTTTATCACAGAACAGTTTTCTTGGAAAATGAAGTAACATATTATAAAGCCATGAAAATTAGTATTTAATATATATTTTTAAATAAAATCACAAAAAATCAAGCTTTTTGATTGCCTGTGAACAGGAATCACATTGATTCAGGAAATAAGACACAAGTTGTATAAAGTAGAAACTTTTTTGTTTCAAAGTTATGGACAGTTACTTGGAACCAGTAGCAAAAATCTTCTAATGAAAAATTCAAACTTCAGTTTCTTGTTTGGTCACACGGAGGCAGTGCACACACACCGATCAGGTTGCTCAAGTTTTAAGTCTGGTTGGAAGTGGAGCTGCAATGTGGCTGCTTCCGGGCCAATAGAAATTGAAATGCTGGATTAAAATTCTGCAAAGGCTTCCGATTTTTAGAATGGGCTGAATAAAAACATCAAACACAAATCCCTTCTTCTGCACAAAAATTAGCTTTGTTGGAATTTGAAGCACAGATCCAGATCTCCAGTTTGTGCTCAGCTCCAATTTTGAGAATGCTTCAGCCTTTGTATTGAAGAGACATCATTCAGTGCTGGAGTTGAAGCTGAGGATTCAGTTTCTAGGTGTGCACATGGATTAAGTTTAAGAAAATGCTGTATTTCCTGGTGTTTTGCTACCAGCATGTCCCTCCTGGACTGTGTTAACTCAGCCTCCTGCAGGTCTCAAACCAAGAGGTTCATCATGAGAACATCTCCAAACATACACAAGGGGGCTGTTGAATGCCTTCATGCAGAACCACGCTGAATCTGCATTTAAGTCAGGCAATTTGGGAGTACTTCGCAGTTCCTGGCCCCACGTGCACAATGCCTGCTTCCCCACCTGGGCATGCACTCAGCACCCTGCTGTCCCTGCTTCAGTGAGGAGAAAAGCCAGCAACAAAAGGAGAGCTGTAGTGACTCCCAGCAAGCTCCTGTCTGACGTCCGGGTGACCAGATCCTGGGACATGCCTCAGCATGCCAGTCCAGATACAGCCTGAGTTTCCCACAGCTTCACCCCATTCGCTTTCCCAGCGCCAGTTCCTAGCTCTTTCAGGATCTTTATTTTCCACAAATTATATTTTTTCTGTAGTCCTGTACGCACTCGCTTCTCCAGACCTAGCTTTTGGCATCCAGCTGCAAAGCAAATTCCTCACAGCAGTTACTCCCCAGCACAGAAGTCCCACTCTTGCCTTCAATTACCCTGCGGTCAGGGCAATAGCTGGTAAAATAAATAAATAGCTGGTAAATAAATCTCAGCCATTGCTCAGACCAAGGGGAGCTGACAATGTATATCTAAGTCAAAAATATATGTACATCACTTACGTGCACATACTCCTATTTCGTACCTAGGTCTGTCTCCACTGTAGTCACAGTACAAGCCCCTGTGGAAATCACAGGTGTCGGCCTCAGTGCAATTTTCTCCGCGCTGCTTGGCACACATCTTGCAGCAGTCGCAGCCGTCTGTGACCAGGCTGACGCCTACCGAGCACCGAGGCGGGGACGTTGGGCACTCGCATGGCCACTTACAGTACTGAGTCCGTGTGTAGGCTTCTGTTGTGGCAGGGACAGTGGGGGTCATGGTGGTGGAGGTCTGGGCAATGGCCTACAAACAAAGAAACACAGCTTGGAGAGCATTCCAGAGAAAAGGGGGCTGCGAACCCTGTGGTGATTAGTCCTCAAGAAAAATTTCCTTAGGTCTGAAGAGACTGCAAGGAAACCAAAGAATTAATGTCAAAGAGCCATGGAAAGGGAGCAGTCACTGCTCTCTTGTAAACCCCTTCAGATACCAGCTGAGGGCAAATGCTCTGCAGCTTGGACTAGCACCCAAACTGCATAGCCCCAGTCTGCTGGTACTCAGCCTTTTCCAGACCTCTTCTCTCTAAACAGAGGTCTCTCTCCATGTAGGAACACAGGCACATGTGTCAAGACCCCTCTGATACATGAGAAGAAGATGTGACATGTCTGCAGTCTGTGTCACCCTATGGTGCTCAGCAGTGGCAGAGGGTTGTACCACCCCATAGCTGTTGTGCCTGTTCATGAGACATGGCTCGAGGGCCTCTGGGCTACTCAAGGGCTTCCTCAGGCAGCAGCAGCTGACCTTCAGGTCACAAAGCAAGATAAAGGTCATCATGTTGCAGTATGAAAGCATGTGGCATTTATCCACATTTGTGTGGGTCTTGCAACCAAAACACGGGATCCCATAAAACCACAAGGGGACTGGGAGCAGGCCTGTGAGCCCACCACCCTCACAGACACCCTGTCATGAACCTCTGCATTGTGAGGATGATCTGAAACCCACAGGCCATCTGAAACTCCATCACAGACCTCCTGAGGATGTCCTGGCCATTTTGTCTCTTCTTGCAATACCACTAATACCGCAACTACTGCCTTACAATATCCCAGCCTTTTGACTTGAATAGAGATGAGATTAGAGACAGAAAAAGATAACCTCTGAACCCAAAATCTGTTTAACTGTCTGTGAATGTCTTGATGCATAAGTTCACCCACCTCTGAAAAATGTTTTGCTTGTCTCCACCCCTATAACACAACACACATGCAGTTCAGCTCCCTGACAGAGTCCCAATCCTAAGCAATGAAGCTACACTATGGCTATAACATTTTCAAAAATTTAAAACTGATAACAATAAAAAAAATTAAAAATAAGGAAGGCATACATTTCCTCTAAGCACTCTGACAAACACCCTTATCCATCCTTTGCAGTGTCCAGACTACCATATTCAGCAGAAATGCTCTCTGTGAATCCTAAACTAGTCATGAGGCTCTTAGGTCTGTCTGTGATGGGCTCTTCCAGGCCTCACGCTGTAGTTCCCATGATGTTGCCCTGGCCCATACAGTCAAACAACTGGGATATTTCTGCAGTGATTTTCCACTTACGACTTTTGGCACATGCTTTTGTCCTACATGGAATCACTCTGGGACCTATAAGTTGGGTGATTGTAAATGAAGCTTCATAATGTTAGTGTTTCTCCCATTAGTCATGCACAAATATTTGCCAGAATGGTGAGCAAGGAAGGAAAACTTTTATGGGGAGGATACCACCAAGTTTCCATTTCCTGATCTCCATTTCCTTGGCAAATAAGGAAAAAAAACCCTGCAAATTAATTAAAAACCTGATAATCAGATAAAAACATCTGATCAAGGTAAATCAAGGTAGAAAAGGGATTTCATGTAACGCAGTGATGTTACTTCAGTAGACACATTCAGGTCACTATTACTAAGATAATGGAGTGCTGGGGTACCTTAGCTCGTAAAAAAACCCACAGAGTGCAGAGGTTCATTGCCTTCTGTACTCTCCAGTCCCTCCAGAGCAAACTCTGGATGACATTTAACATGCCAGCCATGCTTGTGGTGCAGGAAGGGTGCAAACCAGCCCAGTGACAAAGCAAAGATGTCCCTTTTCTACCAGGATCACTGCACAGAAAACCTGAACTGCACACAGGGGTAAAGCAGGGCACAGTAGCTCAGGTGCAGAAACAAATGGGGTTATTTATAGGCTATCAACAGCAGCCAGAAGATGACCCTGCTTGGCACATGTGGTCCAGAAGCCCTTTCTGGTGACAAGATGTGAGGGCTGCAAAGAATAAGTGTGTAACCCTACAAAGCCCAGACAAGGAAAGTCAAGGTCTAGAAATTACTACGGCAATCTCATCCATTCCTGGCTACTTTGTACTGTACTATATATTCCCTAGTGTTTTGTCCTCTTTACAGTTTCAGATGTCTCAAACAAAAGGCTTTCCACCACCTCTCCATAAAGAAAATACCCCGACCCAAGGCCTTGTGGGGAAAAGCCTCCCCAAGAACTGTGAACCCACAGCTGATGAACTATCCATCAGGATACCTCTGCAAAGCCCTTTTAGTGTCTTCTACAGCTTCCTTGCTAGCAGACTCAAATTTTATTAAAGTACATTTCTAAACCTGCTACTGCTGTATCTGAAGGTGTATTAAAGTATCTTAGTAGTTACTTACCCTGTATTGAGAACACCAAACTGTTAACACATTGCTAATCATTGCCAAATAGGCAATGTGTTTGCTCTGGGCATAATTCCCAATTCCATTAAGGCCCCTTTACAAACAGTTGGCCTTAAAGTTGGCTTAAAATCACATTTAAACTCATGTTTAAACTAAAACATACCAATATAATTTACTCCCACTTTAAGGCGCCTTGATGCTGCCAAAGTTGTTAAAAGAGGAACATTCAGATCAATGAAAAGCCCTGGCCTTTTAATAGTAGTATTTTTCATTCCACTCACAATAATTTGAGTAGGTGCAATAATCTGTCACTTGAGAAGAGAGGCCTCTTCAAGTGCAATAAACCTATTTACTTTGTTGCTGATCATTAAAAAAGTGCTTAATAATCAAATCTAGATACACAGACAAAAGTCACACAGCTATTTAAAGAGCCCATTGCCATGGCCCAACCCTGTAAGTAAATCCCTTCACAGTCCCTTGTTTCTATTGTCAACATGAGCAAGCAAACAGCTTCTACCCTGTGTAGATATGAAAGTGTCTGTGAATCAACACACATAGCAAAAAGGAACCCTGCTGGTCCTATGGTTTTAGTTAATATGTGAAGGACTGAATTCTTGTAAAGGACTGGGTAGCTAGGAGTCATTCTGTGGCTTGTGATAGGCAGGAATTTAGAGTAAATTATTTAACAGCCCTTCCTCTAGGCCTGAAGGCTGAGCTGGCCATGGAAGCTTTTCAAGTGTCCTTATAGTGACAAGCTGTTGTAGTTCTTGGACGTGCCAGCTGAAATGTCCAGTGGTATGGCTGAGTAAGTCATAGGAAGAACACTTAATGTGGGTTACATAAGCATCTTCAAATAATCAGTGTGGACAGGCATCAAAATACTGTGACTCCTATATTTTACAAATAGGGAAGGCATGGAGAGATGGAAGCAGCTCGATGTCCTAGGCTCCATCACCACCCAACCAAAACCCAACCTTTGGCAACTGGTGTCCACTGGACACTAGAACAAGTGCAGGGCCTGTACAGCTTCCAGGCCCTCCTCCTTTCCCCTCCCAAGTCCCTCAGAGCTTTGCTATGACAGAAACAATTCTGTAGATTTATAAAATTCTTGGCTTTTCCTTTTCCATGGTCAGCTGTCATCACTGGAATATCTAAATCCCTTTGGAAAAGTCATTCAGCCCTACTACTTCAATGTCCCAGAACATTTTGGGATATAGACACTTTCTTATTAATAGGTATGATGGTTAGGACATCATGAATAATGCTTTATAAATACCACAATAAAAACAATTCCTCCCACAAGTGCTATCAACAGGAAATCACACTGTAATAGCCTTCATCAACGTCCATCCTTAACTAGAAACAAACACACAAACAAACAAACAAACAAAACCCCCTCATGTAAGTTAAGGTTTCAGGAATCATGTCATTAGGGTCAACATAATGTATAGGAGGACAATGGTTTTGTAAGAAAGCCAAAATGAGAGTGAAGAGAAACTTAACACCAAAAAGCACAGTGGCGGGGATTTGACAAGTTTATTTTAAAATGCCAGAAAGATAAAAGAAAGTGCCTGCCAGGAAATGAATTTTTCCAGCTACTGGTAATTAACTTGTTTTGTATAATTATGCTTCAGTCTTGAGGCCTGCAGATTTGTTATCTTGGATGCTAATGAAAAAAATATTCCATCACAAGTTATTCATGAGCTCTAATTTTGCTGCTTTTGGAGGTACAAGCCCATTCTCATTAAAACAAGATGAAGCTCTTCTCACTCTGCTATGGCTGATAACTCTCTATTAAAGTTGCTCCTGATTTATGTTTGGCAAGCTCCAAAATTACTTTCTTTTTGTATCTGCAGAGAACAGTATTTCGCTAGCAACAATTTCAAGCTAATTTCTGTGTTCACATTCAAAAGGAGAGGAGAAAATAAAAAATGACTCACTGCTTGCCATGGCCACAAACTCAATATTTTTAAAAGCCATCAGTTTTACTATCCAAGTCTTAAAGATACAAAATGGATAGCAGCATTTTAGCAACATGTTCTACCTACAGGCAAAGTATATTTTCAATTTGTTGGAAAATACTCTAATTGCAAGTTTTGGAAACTGGAAAGACCAAGCTACGGTGTTGAAATTAGTGTATACAGTCCAAATTGCAAGCCAGCCAGATATACAGCAGCACTTTTACATAATGCATGAGGAAACCTCCAGCTTTGCCTTTAAGTGGCAAAGCCCTAGATGCATTGCAATATATTCCTTTACTTCCCTTTTTTACAGGTGTTTAAAAACATATTCATGTGTGTTTATTTCACTGTTCCAGTGCTGCAAGATCTTACTCTTAAAGCCTTTTTCTTTCCAGTATTTTTCTCATCACGATGAGCTGGGTAAAGGTAGGGAGAAGCTACCCATGTTCTTCCCCTCCAGTTTATTGATGCAAAGAAGTCCAGAAAGGGTGGTGACTTCTAAATTCAATTCCTCTGGCTATTGGCAGAGATGGGGAAATGGTTGTGAGAAGTTGGCAGATAGAGGTGTGCCCAAACCATAGTACCTTATCACCTCCTGCTGCGTTCTCCTTGGTGGTAATTTGCTCTAAAAGAAGGACTTTTGAGCTCACTC